CTTAGAAATCCAAGTCCCATTTTTAGGCACCACTGCAAAACTCCCACTAGGCTGCCACCTAACCCTGCAGGCGCCTAAACTCACAAGGCCCTTCTGGCCATGCACACTACAGCCTCACTCTCTTGGGTGCCCAGGTGCTTATCTCCTGTCTAAGCCCCAGAGCAATTAACAAACCGGGAAAAAATAGATGCTTGGCTAGTCAAGTCATGTGCAGAGTCCTGATCCAGACGGAGGCTTCTTAGCACGCATATCAGATTGGGCTCATCAGGCAAGTTCACACAAAACAGCTGGGAGTGTGGGAAGGAGGAAGAGGATCTCCCTTATAATCTCACCCATGAAGAGGGAGCCTCCTAGGTTCATTCCCACCTTCCTCCTGAGGGGGCAAAGGGATTTGAACAGGAGTCTTCCACCTCTCAGGTGATTGCCCTAGCAAGTAGACTATGGAATATTCTGATGTGAGGCTCCCTCAGTCTCTCCTTTTGAAGTTGTTCCACTTTAATTAAACAATGGAATACTTAAATATTATTTGGCTAGAGAAAGAGTTACTGACTCTATAGCCTAGTGGTTAGGACAATCACCTGAGAGGTGGCAGAAGGCAGGGGGACTTAAATTGGGGGTGTTCCACATCCTATCCACTTGGCTACAGATTGTAAGGGAGATCCTGCTCCTCCTCTTCCATTTTGTTTCAGGTCCTGCAAGCATCTTAGGTGGCTGAATGCCTATTTTCCGCCAGTTCGTGCCTTGCTAGCACAGTTAGGTGCCTCCATGCAGCCTGGATTTAAGAGCCTCTCTCTGAGAGAGGGGCAGGGCTCAGCGCACACCTCTCTGCTCAGTGTCTCCATTGGCTAGCTTAGGTGGCTCCCTGCCTTGTGTGCTGGCTTAGTAGACTGCAGTCTATGGTGCCTCTCTCCCCCAATCATTGTATAGGGACTGTAGGCACCTAACTCAGGCTTTAGGGATTGTGGTGTTCCTGTGATTTTTCTAGGATCCTGCTCCACAGAAGTGTTTAGGTTCCTAACTTCCATTGAGATGATGTTAGAATTAGAACTATGCTCTATTAGGGGACTTTCCCTCTCACTTATGTTCTCTTCTCCTCACTTTTTCCTACTTTCTTCTGTT